CGCGATGCCCCCCAACCTCACCGGGTATTACCGCTTCGTCTCCCAGGAGAACATGGACAACTACCTGCGCGCTTTAGGTACCTTCGCCCTGCTCGTCCCTTTCCCGCCTCGCCTCTGGCTCCCCTCGCCTCCAGCTCCATCAGAAGTCGGGGAGGAAGGGGCTTGGGAACCCTCAGGTCCTTCCCTCTGCCACCGGCGCTTTGTCGGGAGGGGGGAGGACGGGTGGTGGCTGCAGGACCCTGGCTAGGAGCAGAGGAGTTTGGGGGGTCGTCCACGGATCTCCTTTCACCCTCCAGATATCAACGGATCTCCTTTCACCCTCCAGATATCAACGTGGTCCTGCGAAAACTGGTTTGCTTCCTGAAGCCCGATAAAGAGATCATCCACACGGGAGACCACATGGTCATCCGCACCATCACCTCCCTGCGGGACTACGTTATGGATTTTGACCTGGGGGTCCAGTTTGAGGAAGATCTGGGGCCCGTGGATGGGCGCAAGTGCCAGGTGAGGAGCCCAAGCAGCACAGCCTGATGGCGGGTTGGGGTGCACCAGAAGCTGAGGGACTTGCTTGGGTTTTGATTCAGGAACCAGATGAGAGCCCGGCCCAGAGCTGGCGTGCCCTGGCAGGTCCGGGAAGAAGTGGTTCCATGAGCAAATCCCTCACAGCGCAGGGGATGAGCACCCAACCGCCAGAAACCCAGTTCTTTGGGATCCGGAGGGCACTATCCTTTGGAGCAAAGCCCTGAGAAGACAGAACGTCAGCCCGCTCGGCAGCACTCTGTTGCACTGGGAAGCCAGATGGTCATTCACCTCCCAGAAAGAACATCAGTCCCAAGGAGCCACCAGAGAGACGCCAGATCGGGGGACTGCGTTCAAAAATGGGTCTGAGAGGGACAGTCGGTGTCCGCACTGGAAACCTGTCTAGCCAGGAGCCGCTTGTCTCGGGACCGTGCCTTCCCCTCTGCTCCTTTCTTTCAGACAACTGTCTCCTGGGACGGGGATCAGCTGGTGTGTGAGCAGCTCGGGGAGAAGAGGAACCGAGGCTGGAGGCACTGGCTGGAGGGGGACCAGCTGCATCTGGTGAGGAGGGGTCTGGCGCAGCTCGCTAAGCCCCGGTCGCGGTGGGCAGGTTGGGACACGCCATGCGGGCGCTGCGGGCTCTCAGCCAGCCATGCGGCTTCCCTCCAGCTCCGCTCAGCCTTCGGCCCCGGGACCTCGGGGGGTCCGCGCAAACACCCGCCTCCCGGGGTT